TGTGTGTGATTTTTTTTTTAACACGATGAATTTTTAAAGTTGTTTTATATTAAGTAGCCATAATAATTTGGCAGTATTTATTTTAAAATTTTCGCTTTACCAGAACTAAAGTCGTGTAATATTTGAAATAAGTGATTTTTTTATGGTTATTTGTTGGATAAATGCTTGAATAGATTCGTGAAAAAACTCGTATACGCACGGACGAAGTTGCGTGTGGCCGCCTTTCTTCCATCGAGTCTGACGCTGTTATTTCTGTACGTCGAAGCGATATATCAAGAATAGTTTAGGGTTAAAACTATCCAGTTAAACTAATCGGGTGTAGCGCTAACGTGAACATTTTAGCGTGTGTCGTGCTAGTTGAATGGCGCCCATGAGTTAGTGAGTGAGCAGTCGTTTTAGTTATTGGTATGGTTTCGCCGGTAGTGGACGTGGTAGTATCCGGCGGACGGACGCGCGCGTTGTCCGCGTCGTGAATTCGTTTTGAAACAATTCGCATGTGTCGTGATCGGACTAATCGCGTACTTCTTAGTGCTGCAGACACCTGCACTTGATCGTGAAAGTTTATTACTGCTGGCCTCAAACATTGGACCGTTACTAAAAGAAATCGCAATACCTTTACTGTAATAAGATTGTTTTAGTGTTTTTGTAACATGTATATGAAGGTGTGATTTGAATACTGTTTAAAACCATGTAAGAATTTTAATGTATTAAAATATGCTTTGAATTCTGCTAGTGTTCAAATGAAGTCTGGCCTTCGATTATCAAGCGGATCTTGTAGTAGATCTATTGTATATCGTAAATGGTTATCAGAAAGTTGCTTCGGTTATAAAATTATTTTATTTCTTTTCAATAGCAGTGAATGAAGGTAAACCGGAAGAATAATTGCGATTGAATGTCTTGACTACTTTTAACAACGTCCGTTACGTTCTTGTCATATTACATTATAAACGTCTATCTGTCATTGTGCTTTATTTCATTTCTATCGTCAAAGAAAGGTGTTTTACTTAGGTATTTACGAACTATACGTACAGGGTCGAAATTACGTCATATTACGGTGGTGGCCTACTTTCGTATTTATTACGAACTATTGTATTCTTATGGTTAAGACCGGTCTGATTAATTTGTAATAAAAATGTAGATAGCATAATTATGTACATGAAATCCTAATGATAGTATCAATCAATTAATAGTTGCAGCATGGAAATATACTTCCGTTTTATAAGAATCAGTCATAAATTATTTTTTAGCTGTACCTGTAACTATGTCCACGTGAGCGGGACATTTTGATTGATAGGGATAAAAAGTAGCCCATATTTACTTTCATGGTCTATACGTGTGCCAGATTTTATGATGATAGGCTCAGTTGTTTACACCAAGAGGTAACAAACAAATTCAGTTTCAAAGTAAAGATTTTGCACAGTGATTTTGCACAGGGAACGGGTTCATCAGTTTTTTTATGCAACTGAGAATAATAAACATGTTGAAGGTCCAATTGAATGTTTCATTAATGATTTCGTTACGAGTTGTCACATTTTTCGTCACAACGTAAACATATCTTTGACATTTTGTAAGATACTAATAATAACGTTGAACTCAGTAATGTTAATTAGGTTGACGCAATCTTACCTATCATAGTTATTTTATTTTTTTTAATTTTGGTAAATATTAATCGCAATTTAAAAGTAAATGAAAATGGTTTACTGTACTGACATAAATTACCTTAGTCACTTTTTACTTTTATACCTATTCACTGGTAAATATTGTACTCAGAACAATGTACAATATTGGTGTAAAGGACATTACAGTTAATTCAATCCCAAATCCGTCGTATTTTCGAAAAGATAACTACATAAAATTTCATTATATAAAATTATACTTATTCTTTACATAGATACGGATTTGGTATGTAGTATAATTTATTTAATCGAATGTGCCTGCCCTCCCCCACACCCCGAGCTCGTTCACATGGCCAGTATCTATTGTTTAGATTGATTGGGATAAAAAGTAGCTATGCTCTTATTAAATATATGCCTATGCCAGATTTTAAAACGATAGGTTGGTTATCGTCATAACGCCAAGAGATGACAAAATTGATTTCTATTTTGCATCTGTACTATTCGTCAGCACACTGTAGTATCAGGATGTTTCTAACTCAACTTTTGAGCGGTTTCCTTCAATATTTAATTTTTGTCTTTCAATATAAGTAATTAAAATTAACTCCCAGCAGTCGTATTTCCGAAAATATACTGAAACTTTCAAAAAAGCATATTCCTCCCGAAAATGTTGGCAACACAGTTGCAATTTCTCCGATGTTGCGGGTGTCTATTGATGGCGATAAACACCGTCAGGTGAGCCGGCAAGCTCGTTTGCTTTGTATGTTATAAAAAAGGTAATTTATTTCATTCTTATTCTAATAAAATTAGTTCTATTAGGTAAGTAATTAACTACTTTTTTTTGTAATGTAATCACTAGATATTACTACTAAAGCTGGTATTTCTAATTGGGTTTGGTCTATTGTCGAAGTTTTTGTTAAGTATTGCATTGTAACTAAAATACGCATGTAGTAGTTTGTTCATGCAGAAAGAAAAAAAGTCTATGAATAATGAATGTATGTCTAAAGAACTCAATGTCACGAAAGTACTTAATAACAATATTTAACTCGAGGTAAAATTTTCAGAAAAATATCTTCAACTTTAAGGATAACAGTGAAGGAAATTATTTCTAGGTTATAGTTATGCGTAATATAACCTTGTGCGGAAATCTTAAAAAAAAAAAAAAACATTGAATTGTGAATATTTACAACTTTGTATATTGTCTATTTACATAATAAGGCGGATCCATAGTCCGAATTCAGTGTAATGATAATCGACGTGCTGTCAAACTGGTCATATACCTACTACTGTACATGAAGTAAGGTATTTATTTCATATTCGTTTTTTTTACATACTTTAAGAACAAAGTTCACGATATTTTTCGGAATGATAAAAATGTATTGGGAGAGATTTGGCTGTCGACTGTCGTACAAATGTCATGTTAGATCATTACCGTATTACTAACTGTATTCCACAGTGATATCCGCGTGAAATAGAATAAAAAGTATCCTAACCTGAGTTAATTTAGGATGTATTCCATCTTTGTACTAAATTTAGTCAAATATGTTTAAATGTGATTGAGTAACGTCTAAACATCTTTTCACGTTTATAAAGTTATATTTTGTTTAATAATAGTAGTTCTTTCTATTCCTTGATGGATTTGATAGCTCAACGTAAATAAGTAGATGATGATAAGTAGATGATAATATGAGTAGCCAAATTTTTTTGTTATTTTCTAACCCTCCTAAATTTTTTTTTCCGCAAATAAATTCATTCTTTCATTACTCCTTTTAAAGGGTGCTAAATGTCGATTTACTTCTATATATTAAATGAAACAAATTAATAACTGTTTTGGTTTGTAATTATATATACAATTTTATGATATTTAGTAACTAATGAAATATGCGTTAAATAATAACTAAATGATAAGTAAGTCTCTGCATATCTTTTCCAACAAAATTAATACTTCGAGAGATCGAAGATTTTTTAAGATATTCCTTTGGAGATGTCGTCACGAACGTATGTATTTTAAATGATTTAAGGAGGATGTTGATTTACATTATGCTGTATCTTCACCAATTCAAAACCTGTTTTGAAAAGTAATTCTTTTTGCGATTGATTGGACTTACTTCCATGTTAATTTGTCGCGATTGAACATGATTAATGGAACAAAATCTCATATAATCTCAAAAACTACCTATTATTTTTAAACCTTTTGCTTATGTAGAAATCATAAAAGAAAATTATTATTAATTAGGCTTCAAATTAAAATCCATAATTAAAATATCTAAAAAATCTATCCTTATTCAAATATAAATATAACCTCAATGCGAGGTAATTTGACGTCACTTGTGAATCACGTGCAGAGTGACCTTATACCCATACTACCCATAGCAAACAGTTGCGTTGAAGTATGATTTGGTATCTGTGGATTTAGATATGTAAATATATTTTCTCTCTGCAAAGAAATCATATATCTATGACATGCAAATTTGACATTCCATGATTTCTTTACATGAAATAGTTTTCTGTTTTTCGACATGACTAAGCTTTACGACGAGATCAGAATTGAGATAAAAACTTTTTAGAAGTTTTAACTGTATCCTACGTTTAATTATATTTGAAGTATCATGGATGAACTTATTAGGGTAACCATGCCATTATCCTCTATTTTTATGTTTATATTCGTACACCATTGTAGTAATTTTACTATATTGAGCCAACTGCTTAATTAGTGTAAATTGTTGAAAGTTTGTTTTTCTTGAAGTTAAAATTGACTGTGACAAAGACAAGAAGATTTTGAAGATTTACAGTCCATTCAGTATTATCTCATTAACTCTAAAATGGTGTTAGTGCACTGATTGAATTGCAATTGTCTTCGATAAATTATATTGGTTCTTAGTGTAGTATTTATTAAAATTTATTACTATTTATTATTATTGATTATCAGGGCCCATAATGCACTAGGCAATCGGCGTTATGATATTTTTGAAGTATAGTATAGGTAAACTCCAAGAAACTCGTCTTCTGAGTTTACTGTGATGTTAAATGGATTGTTTAAAAAACGTTATGATTTCTTGTATTATTTCTTAATAATAGTTAATTTGTTAAAAGTTTAAATATAAAGTTTACATTACATATTGATTTTTAAAGTTAAATATAAATTTTATATAGGGTTTTACAATTTCATTTGATTTTCATTTCTTTTCTTATATCAATCAAGTAGTTACTCGTACAAAAAAGTCATTGCATTAAATGCAAACGTTTCCGAGAAGTGTTGCAACCTTGTTTTTTTTTCTATGGTCGATGTTCGTTGTTTGCTCAGTCAAATTAATAAACTGTAGTTAGAATTCCGTTTATTTAGTAGGATAGTTTGTTCATAGGCGTGGGCGTAAAAAGGGCGCGACTGGTTTTGGCCTCATTCCTGCATAATCAATATTAGGCTAGGTAGAAAACGGTCATTTTCTTTCATAATTGCATGTTACTTTCGCTGAAAAAATAATCTCATATAAAATTAACATAAATAACAATCATCGTTGGTTACGTTGTGGATGGCGTTTGTGCCAAATTCACACATTGCGATTTCATGTGAGTTAATTTAAAGCAGCTCACTTGGTTACCCGAGCGTACGGCGTTTTTAGTCTGCCTACTTATTATTAGGTATGCCACGTAAAACGTGTTTGTTCTATTACATGAAATGTCGTGGCGCGACTCTCGCGACTTTACAGGTATGATGCTAAAATAAATATTGAAACCGGCGAAGTATAAAATGAATTGTCAGTTCATTTCACGGCAGACATCGTGGAGGAGACACTGTAAATAAACTCAGATTAAATAGTTGTGAAATAGTGGTGCTCTTGCACGTGAGAGGATATTTGGTGTGAGGCGGGCGGAGCCGATGGTCGCGGCTCGGGCACGTCACGGCGGAGGGCTGTGCGGGCTCGGGTGCGGGGTGCGCGGACGACTCGCGTACCTCGCCACCGCCCGGCTTCGATCGCGAGCTCTTCCAGGAGCTAAGCTATCTACCTGATGCGGAACTGCGCGAGTGCCTCGGCGAATACCCTGACTTCCTATACCACGTGGCGAGGGACAGATACGGCCGACTCTACTTTCGCGTCATCCGGACTTTGCTCCTTGATAGAGGTACGCCAAGATCCAGAACGTGAATACTATTCACGATCACTCTCAAGTCTCTGCGATTTCTCATATTTTGTCGTTACCCATCTTGCTTCTTCTTTAGATGGCCTTTAATTTCAAGCGCATCTGTCCATCTCATGCTTTACTCACGCTTCTGATATTTTCTAGAATGTTTATCAATTTTTAATTCTAACCAATAATCTTGTAAAATAACATTATTATTTAAACTGGACTATTCTGTATTAACCAAATAAAATTTTTTTATTGTAGTTTTTTTTATGAATTAATTAATTTGTTTAGGTAACACAATCAATATTTCAGTTAGAGGAAACGTAAGGAGCAAGAACTGTGAAAGTCTTTGATTCGTGTGAGAGAGACGTAACCGCGAGTACAATCAATATCCGTTGTAATCGTTAGGTAAGATGTAAGAGTGGGAAAAATGCCATCCAGCATATAGGTAGAATGCAACAATTGTTTACATTCTCCCAAGGTATTTTTTATCGTTTTGCTGGAAAGCAGGCACCTTGTGTATTCTTGTGTAAAAGTAATTTATTTTACATGGTACAATATACTGTTTTGGATGTATCCAAAATTTTTAGTCTGTCACGTAGTGTGCAAATAGGTAATATGGATTGAGTATTAACTGCAAAAGCTAGTCATTATCATCCTTTTAGTGGTTCAATTTTCCATTGCAGAACATAGTTTACCATTAGATTGGCATATGTAATGATGCAGGGCCACTTTCAGTGACCCCCTTTAATTTTTCATTCAGTTGCAGGTTTATATTGCGTTGCAGGTTTATCTTTCTTCCCTGTTTAGTACAATTTACATTATTCTAAAGCTTTATATAAATAAATTCAAGCATAAAGTTAAGTATATTATAGTGCGGATCTGATAACTAAATGCTTTACCGCTCTTTTTACGAAGAATTGAAACAGATGTACCGTTTAATGATTATTTATCATTGCATATAATTTTCATAGTACATAGTCATCAATAATGCGATAAGAATTGATTACGCTCAGTGACGCAAATTATAATTTTGTACCAATTGTCGATATCCTTGATTTGAATTCGAGAATTATATAGGTTTCGGGTACAAATCGACAATTTCCAATGTTAACTAAATAACTTTTGTTTATCGTATTGTTGACTACGGTAACTTAATATCAAAGTATATAGAAATATAATATTATTCAAATTAATATAATAGTTATTTATCTGTTATTTTTAATATCATTAATTATCAAATATAAGTTAGAAACATAATAATCGATTTTAAAAAAGGCGATCAAAAATGTATTGAGTGATTTTCAACTGTCATATTATTTTGTTTCGAAGTTCGAAGTCGAAGATTAAGATAGTGGAAATTCTCAATACAGATACTTTCGTGTACAATAAATAGTTCAGAAATAAATACCAACACGATAGTTTTTCGATCTCTATTTCTTATAAAAAAAATTTAAATACATATTAAAAATAACGCCTATTGTAGTAGATTCCTAGACAGCCGTTGTCATGGTAGTAGTACTACTATTCTAGCGATATATGTGAAAAATCATTACATGAATAGATGAATTGCCTATTATACTGTTTTTTTTTTCCCACATAATGAGTGTATAATAGAATAGTATGTTTTGCGTGCCCTCCATTGAACCGATATTTAGCCCGAAGTTCTCTAGTTGCGTACGTTACGCAGTCGTTGGCTCGATTGGTTGGTTTGCACTAGTGTTTGTCGCCGGCAACGACAGGTTTCGATATTGTTTATTGATGTAATAACCGTGTCTATTATATACTATTGTTCTCCGAAAAAATTGTGTTTTCACATAATGCCAGTTTGACCGCGCATCTATATAGAGAATCAATGAACACCCGAAGACTGGATGATATACCTTTTGGTCAGTACTTAATCTATTGAATTGTGTTGGTTAATGGTGAAAAATTATTAGTAATTATATAATGATGTCCCCTTTAACTAATGATGTCCCTTTAACACAATTATATATTATCTTATCATTGTTTGTAGCCGGCAAGTTAGTGAATACTATTTTGTCTTTACAGTCGAGTGCGTTTCACTTACACGCTGTTTTGCGACACTGCTTTATGGTCGTTCAAGTGCTCATTGAGTTATGTAGCTATTGTGCTGAGTAAATCCGTGTACCATTGTATATTGTCTCATAGTTCTGAGCGTTTTCCAACTAGTTGAAGTAAAAAATGTTATTTGTGATGTGAATTATTTACGTGGAATGCAGTTATTTATTTACAGCTACAAGCGTTAATAATTTATTTACCAAACAAAAAAATTACTACATAATTATATGTAAAGAAATCCAATATATAAATAATACTTGGTTTAAGAAGAATAAATCGACTCATACGATTTCGTTTTCAGAGGTATCAATATTTATGTAAAAATATTAATTGTAATCGGTACCTATATATTGTTAAATAGTTGTAAATGTCAATAATTAAAACAGTACAAACAAAACATATTAATGAAAATAATGAAAGCTAAATTAAAAACTTTCTTCTCAATATTTACTGCCTAATAATCTTAATGAGAGTATTTAGTTTGTTTGGTATTTTTTATTTTGTTTAATAGTAGGTATGTAAATCAAATATTTCAATATATTCTTCTGTCGTTGTGTCACAATTCTTCAGTGTAACAAAAAGTTTTTACAAACAAATGACATTTTCTAGTATTTATTCTTTTGCACACATTAAAATATATATACATGTCGAACTAAATAACTTATTTAATTTTCATATATTTTTTTTTAAATTTTGACTGAGAATAGTAAATTTATATATATCAGGATATGTATAGGAAAATAAAAAAAAAATCTTATTCAAATTGGGAATTAATGTCATTATAATTGTTATTAGGTTTTAGTAATTATATTTTAATTATTTTTTTTGTTGTTGAGAAATAATAATTGTCAGGACTTTACTACGAATGTAAAAAGTAAAACTATAGCTTTTTTGTCATTATTAGTTTAAATATTTCTCTGAGTTATCAAAGTTTTTGTTTTTTATCTTGTATAAATATAGTATAAAAACATTAGCATTAGTAGGTACTTGCTAAAAAGTGGCAGTACTAATAAATTTCTATGTTTCTGTATAATTTGTGACGACTCAATTCGATTGGCCGCTCATTTATTTGTAGATAATATAGTACCATTAATATATTTGACTTGTTATATAAGTTTTTATAGATTTAAAAGTTATCATATCTGTAGTGAATATATTTTAATATTATTAATTAAAATGAAATTGATTGCAATATAATGCTATGAAAGTTACAGCTATCTATATCTACATTCTTATCTAATTCCATTGTTCCAACATTACATTGCAATAATCGATAATATGTAGGGTGACCATGTTGTCATACTAAAAACCTATTTCTTAATTACAGTTCTATGCAGCAACAGGGTGAGCCAAATGACAAAAACCTACAATGACATTGAAGCGGTAACAAGGCTCTTAGAAGAAGTAAGTCAATTTATTATAGCATCATACTTTCTAAAATATTTATAATATCTGTTTATTATACAGTTCTTGATGTCGTCGGTAGTAGGATTGCTTGTTTTTACTGCTTAGCTTATGCTGCTAAACTTGTACTATTTTGTTTGTCAAGATGTCTCTTAATGATAAACTGATTTAGATTCGTAATCAACAATATTATTTATCAATTTGATATGCTCGTAAATAAGTTTTACAGAAAGCACCCTGAGTTAGAATTATTTATATTGGCTTTACTCACATAATTTCTGACTAATTTCGAATTATATGTATAAGTGTCTTTATTGTCTTATTACTTATATGGCTCACAGTTTTTTTTGAGATCAGTCGCGGTCAGAGAGCGCTTGTGGATGTGTGCGATTGGTAGCGATGTTTAAATATATAAGATACGTGAGTAAAGCTAATATAAATAGTAATAATTAAACTAAAATGCCATAATTATTTATGAACAGAAAGAGAAAGATTTGGAGTTGACGGCACGCATCGGCAAGGAGTTATTGACAGCTAATGGCCGACTGGAGGCGCGTGTTACAGCACTCGAGGGCGATTTGCGCAGCGCTCGAGATCTCATCACACAGTTGAAACACGATCTCACAACTAAAACAGATTTATTGCAGGTAAACACCGGTGTTCTATATTTTTTTTATTACATGTTAGCCGTATCTTGCAGGTTGTCTATCTATGTATTCTATGTGTTTATTGTGTAATCTAGGATATGTGGTTTACCCGTATATGAAATTGTATTCACATGTGCTTTGCTGTTTAAGCGTGATTGAGTAAGAAACATCTAAAGACATGAACATCTTTAAATATGCCTTTATGCTCCCTGCCAATTCTGCGGTTTACATGTTATGCCTCTTGTGGCAGCATTGGCGTGTATATAGAATAAAGCTTATTAACAATTGTTAAAAAAAAAAATAAGCTCTGGACTATAATCTATAATCTCTAATAGGCATTAGTTACCTGTTGTCGTTATGATAAATGTAACATTCGACATGTCCACATTGCGTCGAGCATTTAGCAAAAGGCGAGCCTACCGCTATTTGTCGCATTAATTTAATTTCGCAATTAATTCTATGATATTACTTAATTCAATTTAAGCTCTATTGAACCTGTTTTATAATTGACAGTGTTTTGTACTCAGGCAATTCATGTGTCGTTCTCTTCTTTGTTTTGTTAATATGCCATTGAACTTGTGATCTTAAAGTATTAATATAGGGTATGAGTAATAATCAAGAAAACGTTATTAAATATAACCAACTGCTCATACACGGAAAATTACAGAACTGATAACAAACGTAGTTAGCATTTTTGTCTAATTTACTTGTCATTTGTTTTTAGGATATCGTCGCTAATAGATACGAAACTTTATTATTGTAATTTTGTAATGTACGTTTGTCCGTTTAATCATACGTACTATTTAATATAACTTTTTTACAAACGAATAAGATCTGAAGTTTCATAGGTGTAGAATATTAATATCATAAACAGATAAATTTGATCCGGCTATATACGATTGATTGTATTCATAGACCATATTGTCTCTGTGTTTGCTCAGGAAGGTGTGTGATCACTCGTTGTGCTATAATAAAAAAAAAAAGTTCTTTTAATAGAACTCTTCATACCTTTATTAATCTTTTAATTAAAAAATATTCGGGTCATATCAAACTTGTCATGGAAATGGTAATGTAGTTGTCTGTGCAATAAGTGTAACGTATACAACATTCAAAATTATCAATTTTTTATAATTATTCTTTTGCGACAACATACAGTTCAAAGTATCTAAAGGTTTTAATTTTATTAAATGAGGACAACGAATTGTAATTATAACTATAATGTATCATTAAATTATTTTGATCATTATATATATATATATATATATATATATATATATATATATATATATATATATATATATATATATATATATATATATATATATATATATATATATATATATATATTACAATTTAGAGATATCGGTGAATAATTAAAAACTATAAACATATTATGTGTACGAACATTTATTTAATATGTCCGATATGCTCTTCACTGAACTTTTATAACTTGCTAATAATGATTTCACGTATGGATCTAGGTGTTAACAAATGACACAGAGGAAGGCAACTCCCCGACGGAGGAGCAAGAAGCGGCTTGCGCGGCAGCGCTGCGCAAACGCACCGGCGCACTGGAGCGAGAAAATCGAGCTCTTCGCGAGGAGGCTGCCCGGCTCGCCGCCGGCACCGACAGCGCCGAGCTGGCTGAGCAGCAGCTGCTGCGAGATATTGCGCAACAACTCGGTAAGCCTCTTTTTGTTCTTTCATTTATTTGACAAATTTCTTTCGTAGCCTATTTCATGTTTAATGCGATGTCTCCTTAATTACTTGTTTATCTCCATCAGATAAGAACTCTGTTTATTTGAACACCATTAATTAATGTTACAATTTTAATTTTATTTGCTTCAACTGTATGATAATAATATAAAAATGTACAGTTTTCTCATTCCCATGAAAATGGCGAATAATTCATGCAAATATACATACATAAATATTTATTAGATTTATGAAAAATTACAATTCAACTAGGGGTATTGACCTACAGTTGTGTGAAACATTGTGAACTGGACATAATGTATATACGAGTACACTATTTGTATTAAGTATGCCAGGAAATACCATTTCTATGATGTTAATGTTATGTATACTTTATAGATAGTCCTAGTTTTTTTTTATTATTTGAAATTTCTTATTGTTATTAAATATTACATATAAAATAATGCATTTTGTTTTGTATAAAAATACTATCTGTATCATTATGTAAATTGTGTTACAAGTGATTTGATAACATATTGAGTTACGGATATTTTGCGTACTTGAAATGAGTATCTATATTACTTATCTTCTGAAGAGTAGACTAGTAATTATGATAAAATACTTTATCATTATATGTGTGTTTATTATTATTAGTGTATTGCCGAATAATACATTTGGTATGAAGAACGTGGAAGTCACGAGGGTTTGGTGGGGCAAGGTGGCCTAGCAGCGTGTTTTCTCTAAGGTTTGCACCCTGTCAGACCATACTTGTTTCAACATATCCCTGTCATCGTTTTGCCCAAGTTAACGAGGTTGAAGAAGATGCACTACTGTCTTTTCGATTATAAGTCTTTATAATAATTATATATAAAAATCGTATCGTAGGTATACTTATCACTTTATTTATTGTGTACTAATTGAAACAATTTCAAACTAGTTGGAATTAAATTCGCGATTTCCTCACATACTAGTGGGAGTTATTATGCAAAATTAGTCTCTACGGGTATCTTTGTCCATTCGTGTTTGTCGTGAAGCAGATGTGCTTGCACGACTGTGTTCTAGTTTAAAAGGAATATGGGAGACAAATTGCAAGATACTTGTACGGGGAGGCATAACACCGTAGTTTTTAGGAATGGCAACGCTTGTGGGGTAATATGGGATTCAAAGTTCATTCTATAATGTGTATGATGCTGTTTATATCTATAGGCGACGGTTATCAATTTCCATCAGGTGGGCTGTCAGCTTGTTTGCTATTCTAAGTGTCAGTATTAGTTTTGACTTTAAAAAATCATTAAAAATTTACTTTATGCTTTAGACATTATTGTTGTGACTGTTGACTTAGTATACAGTACGTATTATATAACGAACTTACGTGTTGTGACATAATGTGACATTTCATTATCACGATAATAGATCGCAGTGAAATTGTTTTACAGTTTTGTGTGCCTATGTTTTTGTACATATCGTTTTGTGAATTATTATTATTTATGTATCTAAGTTCTATGTATTATGATGTTTAATTATTTTAATGGCAATACATGAACTTAGTACCTCATAATTGAAACAATAAGCTATATAATTCCTTACAGTTCATAGATATAAAAATACATAATTTATATAGTTGTGACGCATGAATAAAAATATAGGTTGCGTTTTATGTCGGTTTCAATTAGACATCCTGTTAAATTTTACGTTTCAGTAGAAAATAGCATATTATCAACATTATAATTTCTGATAAAAGATTGTGGTTGTATCAAAATTCTTTTATATGAGTAGGTTTATAAATCCTAATAAACCTTGGATAAGACAAAATATACCTAGGTAGTGATAATACATATTCATATCTACCATGTGGCCTGTATACCAACATAGTCTAAAGAGTGTACCTATCAGTCTCAATGAACTTCTCTAAAGAATGGACTATTCAATAGTCGAATTTTGAAAATGTTCGTTCTAAATCAATTATATGACGACGCGAATTGTTTTTTTTTTTTTGGAAAGTTGTTCAGGTTCATTGAAAAATTCAATGGGTTTTGTATTGGTACTCTCTTTACCCTTGTTGAACACAACGAGTCACGGTTGAATGCGTCATACTCATGAACATATATATATTACATGTGAAGACTGTTCTATTTCCATACTTTACTGTGCCTTGGCAATTTGTATTTATTGGAAATATTTGTGGTATTTCAAGGATACGATCGAGTTTTTGCCGAGTTGGTTGAAACTACTTTCAAACAACTAGATGACCTGATAAATATCTGAAATATATGAATAAAAATATTTTTAATTCTTATTTTGGTATTTACATAGTTATAATGTTAATTATAAAATGTTTTGATAGAAGAAAGTTGTTAGAGAAAAAAACAAAACAATCATAGTTATTAAAATATGCAATTATAAACCGTAATAAAGTTGAATAGATAGGTAAATCAAGTTAATAAAGTGTTACTGATATAATAACAAAATATTTGTATTAAGATCGTAGCACAATAAGTTTAACGTATTGCTTCATTAATAGAAGTTTCGTATAAATATGTAAATGATGAGGAAATGGTCGATCAACCCGTCGTCACCTGAAGCTAGTTAACAGACCGCTAAAACTTTTAGTATAGATTTTATTTGAACTTTTTATCCATTTATTAATTTGATCTGTTACAAAATTACAGACATTGCGTAACTTAATATCATGCAACTGTTGGTTCCGTGTTATATTTTTATAGATACTACTTAATTTTTTTTTTCTTTTTTTATACAATTCATGGATTATTATGATATCCACAGGCGTTGTTTTTAATGTTTTTAATACACGCGTGTTAGATACGTAACATCTGCGATTTAATTGTCAGTTAAATAATTTTTCGTTGTACAATTTCTGGGTTATAACAAATGTGATCAGTTTAGTTTAATTACTTGGTTAGAAAAAGATTAGAGTAGTCTGGATATTTTTTATTATATGTTTATATGTAGTATTTGATATTATTGTCTTGTAGGTACTTAAATGATTATTAATCTGTGTATAGCGAGTGCAAACTCGGAAGCCACCATCCTGGGCAATGAGTTGGCGGAGGAGAGACAACGGAACGCCGACCTCCAGCACCAGGTTGATAGTACAAACGCAAGGCTCGCCCTCACTGAAAGAAATTTCCAACAGGTATCCATGATTTTACTTATTTTACACTTTAATTATCATTGCATTTTCTCAGAATCTGACATTTCTTTGATAAATCGTATTTAAAGTGTAATTTTAGGTTACCTGTTATCATGTTGTTACATTGCATACATACCTACATACTTATAGAAACCCCACCCAAAAACTGTCGTATGCTATTATGTTTAAAGTACTTTTTAAAATAGATTCAAGTAATTATCGTTTATTCCAAATAGTATAATCGTTACAATGAATTTCAAACCGGAATGAACTGACATAAAATAGTGAAAATCAAAATCAAGTCTTTATTATCTATATCAAATGTCAATTTTATTCGATTTGAAATAGTTTTTATAAGACTAGTAACGTCAAAGACAGATGTAAACACTAGGATAGTGGTTTAATCAAAGAAAATAATAGTTGTAACTTTTGACTAAATAGACAAGCGATTTCTAAAATTGGTTCCGTGAATCAATGACGTTTGTCAATGACTGTGACAGTGTCAAATAGATGAGCATGCTAATGAGTATTGTTGTGAGGCAACTCGCTTCCAAATCAAACGTATTTATATACTATTTATATTCTTGAGCTTACTCGCAGGCCACTCAAGTTTTAGATGGTGTCCTTAATTTATTATAATGACTGAGAGAAAATTCTAATTAGCATTAAGTCAGTCTTTTGTACTTAATTGTTGACCATGGACTAAGTTTCCATGGTACTAATTAACATTAACTTTTAGACTGCCATTTTTCTCTCATATTTTCACACAATTTGGTTTGACAAACATTAGCTTTTGCCTATTACAATAAAGCGGAAAAGAAATGTAGGATCCAATAAAAGTTAATTATATAATATTCTGTACTCTTAAAGTTTAATAACTGACATTCAGGGATAAATATTTTATTCTATATTACATCCCCAAGGATGATTAGAGATTAGCCTAAAACCCAAGTTTTAGGCTAATCTCCCTGTCAAATTTCATCTACAGCGGTCCCTAATTTAGTCGTGGAAACATAATAATCCGACAGATAAATTCAGTTTCGCTTTAACATAATTGATATGAATAATTTAAACGCTAGAATATCAAGTTGTCCATTTCGCTAGTTAGATACCGCATAGGTTATGTGTCAAGGTCTTGTGTAGAAAATCATATGCATGTAATATTTGCATAATGTTTGCCCGCAGCTAACCGCAGAACACGAGCACACAATAAGAATATTAGAAATCACTAGAGAAAATCAAAATGCTCTTGCAGCAGAGTTGGCTGACACGAAGGTAAGTCTAGATTATTTATGTAATAGGATTTACTGTGAAAATATTTTGCTAATAAGAAAATTATCATTGCCTTTAATTGTATCGCTTTTTTAACGCCGTGTGGTCCCGGAATAGAATGGGCTACTCCTTCTATTCCCATGGGTGTCGTAAGAGGAGACTAAGAGAAATTAAAGGTCGAGGGACGGGCAGCAGCGTCCCTCAATACATCACTAAAGTGTAATTGCGGTTACCAACCTATTTGCCAAGCGTGGCAACTATTGGCAAAATCTCCAAATTTATCGGGGTGCCCTATATTCAGCAGTGGGCAGATAACCGCTGATATGATGATGATGGTAATGATTATGATTAAGTGTGTAATCAGTAAATTTCAATGTAAATATTTTTATCTGGTTGGGAATGCAATTTACTCATCGACCTTCATGTGTTAACTATATACAACAAAACGAATTGAGTTGTATTTATAATTTTGAATTAAACTATAAGGTCTTTATGTACATAAAAAAAACGTATCATCAATTAATATAATAAAATCAATAAGATAAGTATAAATTGCATAATTTTTTTTATATATGTTTATCTTCTATCTATACTTATAATAAATCTGTAGAGAGGTCAATTCTGTACATGAAATATATTTTCAAAATAACTATCAGGGGGTGATTAGTGATCGTTACTGATGCCAAAAATGCAATCAGTAAAATTTTTGTCTGTCTGTATGTTCGTTATAGAAACAGAAACTACTCGACGGATTTTAACGAAACTTGGTATAATTATTCTTCATACTCCTGGGCAGGTTATAGTAATTTTTCATCACACTACGATCTATAGGAGCAGAGCAGTGAAGGGAAATGTTGAGAAAACGGGAGAAGTTACTCCATTTTTAAGCTGCCGTCGCGAGTGCAGCCTTAATAGTCACTTTTTAAAATGTAAAAATGTCCACCTGTGCGAAGCCGGGACGGGCCGCTAGTCTATAATAATACTCGTAATTAAGATTTTGGTAATTTTACATACGGCAAAAATTTGTCCATGCAAAATAGTAGTGATATGTATTTATGTAAATCCTTGCTTAAGAATGTCATGTGATTTGAGCGTTAATAATTTATCGTGCGACTGTGCAGGAGCGGTACGCGGAAGTGGCAGCGCACCTGGCGGAGGCACAGGAACAGCTGCGACAGCTGCGCAAGCGTGGAGAGCCGGTGCGGGGGCTGATGCCGAGCGTGGCGGCCGCCGCCGGCCTGCTGCCTGCCAGCCTGCACCGCGAGATGCACTCCTCTGTCTTCTCGGAGCTCAGCCTCGACTCCGGCATTGGCGATCCGCTCGCACAGTTAGTCACTTGCCTCTGACATTTTTCATTTTTTTATAATGTTGGTGCTGGGTATTGTCAGCACTCAATGTAGTTTGTAATTCATCTTAACAACTTTCGAACACATTTGTTTTGTTTACACAGATTTTTAATAATGTTTATAATATTGGAACTCCCAGTATAGTTCGTAATTCACATTGTACAAAACCATAAACTACCAAACTTGCTTGGCAGTAATTGTAAAATTTTCATCGCGTAAATCATGTATAAATGAAATTTCATTACAATAAAACCATGCTCGCCGCCGGTTCAATTTCGTTCCACAATGTGTTTACTAAAAAAAAATTAAATCATAATATATAATATTATGTAAATAATTGTCATTTATTTGATTAATTAATGAAAATATATTATTTAATAATTGTACTGTATATTCCTATAAACACTCATATATAATTGATATTATATTATAATAATTATTATCACAGATGATCAATAATATCTGTTTTACGTAATAAGCTTCTGGCTATATATCTATATCTACTAAAAGATTCGAATGAACGAAGAATATCTTATTACTCATATGTGAAGTACAATAATCTAAATCATAATTTAAATCCATATGATAACTATCAGTTTTTTAATTGTCAAGTATCTATATTTAAATTTACAGTCAGTATAATATTTAATGAGTAAAAATCCTGTGTCCATGTAGTCGTTTACTTTATTCTCTGAAAACGGCTTAATAGTTTATTAGTTTTGTAATTGGGGACTGTTTGCTTCAATCAGAGACAGAATAGTTTTTATCGATAAAGGACGTATTGGCGGCAAAACAATGTTGGCCTGGTCGACTGGTAATATTATATAATGAATGAATTAATTGTATGAACAGGTCAAGTATGCAGAAAGTGTTTGAAACCGTGCAGTGTGCATCGCGGTGGTCGGGCGCGTCGGGTGCGTCGGGAGCGTCGCTGCACGGTTCGGACGCCGTGGACGCGCCGTCCGCGCCCCCCGCGCCCTCCGCCTACCTCAAGCCTCCTCCAAAGAGAACCTCCTGCGATTCGTTCTTCGACGACACCTCCGATACCGACTCCGATGACCTATACCCGTTAGTATTAGTACTAGGTTTATTTGAGTATACTTATACTTAATAATAGACTTAAATTTACGGAATACTGAAATTTTGTATTACAGTTATATAAGAACAAATATTACAAGGGTTTTATGGTGGTTCAGGCATGTAGAAAGTATCGTGAAAGAAATACATGATACGAATATAGAAGAATGCAAATATGGGGAGGCCTAATGGACTTGCGCGTCACTTTTTAATGAGTCTATGGGACATTCATAAGACATGAAGTTAAAATTGACAAGATAAGACATCTTTAGAAATAGTGTAGCAGGAAAGAAAGAACGCACGTAAGAAAGTGGGGGCTATTGACATATCTATCATGGACAGATAAATTGTATAAAAAAATTTAGACTGTAAAATAAGTCATGAATACATACATACAGAATGTGAAAGTCGTACTCATGAATGAGACCACTTATGAAAGTGGGTGAAATAGGTACTGGCTGTTTCCCATGGCTTTGGTTATATGAATCAGTATATAAAGTATTCTATGTGTTAAGTTAACATCTTAAACAAAAAGCAAATTTTATACAAATCCATTCTGCCGTTTAAGCCTAATTGAGTAACATCCATTCATTTACAATACAAATATTAGTAGGATACGATAAGGGATCGTTTAGAAGTTTTTTTTGTCATCTCTATATAAATCGTAAGGGAGCTAGCGTGTAGACAGTTATAATATTGCGGCTCGTTGTCCGGCAGCGGCGGCGCGGGCGTGGGCGTGCCGGGCGCGCCGGGCGCGGCGGAGCTGGCGGCGGCGCTGCGCCGCCTCACGCCGCACGAGATCGACTCGCGCCGCGCCTCGCTCGCCGCCTCGCACGTGCTGCGCCACCGCCGACACGCCGGTACGGTATTTTTATGGTGATATTTAAAATGCCAATCCAGATAGCGACCCATCTGCTCTTTTTTTAATGGGTAAAAACGAAATGGTAACCCCGCCTGCGCTATCGGTATACGCTGGCGGGGTGCCAGTGAGGGGTTATAGGTGTTTTTTATGCCATTGTGGTGGCAAACAAGTATACGGCCCAACTAATGGAAAGCGGTTACCGTAGCCTATGAAGGCTTGCAATACAACGATAAAAGTAGCCCATTGTGACGGATTTCACTAAAATGAATTACGATGGTTTCCAAGGGGAACCGCGTGAAAGTCAACCTGATAGTGTATTGCTAACAATGAGTCAGGTAGACTCTGTTACTAACAACCCCCCCCCCCCCCCCCCGGGCCCACTTGTTGGATTACATAAACTGACATAAACAGTTCCATGGGTATGATAATACACACTGATGCCCATGCCACGTTGCCATTCTCAAGGCTTATTGTGTTATACCTCCATACTCTGTGATTACACTGCTAGTATATTCATCATTATACTCAGTCTTTCAGCCTTCCTTTATAATCTTTACAGATTGTATTGATTGCCTTAAACTTAGCTAACAGGAGATGGTTTTATGGGATATAAATCTATCACCTGTTAAGCCATGATCATATATATTCACACTATAAAGTTACCGTAATTTCATATGCTCCTTGAAATTGCAGACAATCTTACTGCGTAAAGCTATATGTGAGTAGGAAAGTGGTAACTGTCGTCTATTAATATAAACGCTGCAAAATACACCACGATGCCCATGGTACATTTTATGCGTACTTTACGCATTCGAGTTTTAAGGTTGTTATGCCTCTAATTAGAGGCTATACTTCTAATTATTACTATAAGGTTTCGTTTTATTTTGGGATTTGTGAATCGCAGTTTATATTTTTACCTTTTTTTTAGCTATTTATTAGATGTTCATAGTTTAATTATTAATATGTATAATATTTATTTGTTTTGAAAATTAAATGAAGCATTTTATTTCATATATTTACAGACAGAGACCTCAGTGAAGAGAGTGCGGTGTGGGGCGCCGGCGCAGCGGGTGGCCTGGCTCGATTCCGCCCTCCACATAAACTACAGATCGTTAAACCTTTGGAGGGCTCCCTCACACTGCATACGTGGGCGCAACTGGCTAAACCCACAATGTCAGGTAAAGATGTCATATGGATATGAATATCCATACTAAAAGATGGAGAAAAATAAATAGTTTACCATTTTAAACACAGACAAACCCATTGTTTGTCCGCCTTTAATCTACATAAATAATAGTACATTGAAAAGTCAATCTAATTTTTAAACAGCCTTGCACATATATTATTTGGGTTTGAATGTAGACAGGAGTAATATAAACATTGTTGGCTTAATGCTGTGAAGCCTTATAATAATTATACAAGATAATCTGTGTTCTAGTTACTGTCGACATTTATCTTGAATAAATACATATATCAGTCATTCACTTGCACTCTAACACTTCAAAAGCACAACATTATACTTGAAACATAATAAGAGGTTGCATTATTATTTACGATATTTCTGAAGACAGTCGTACACAATGAGCAGTATATTGATTGATAATAATAGTAAGTTATAAATACGGATAAGAAAAAAGGATCTCCCACGTTGCAACGAAACATGATCCGTGACATATTTACTTTATGTTTGTAGCTGTTACAAGCAGTTAGCTCTCGCGTTCTACATGACAAATTTTTCATAATATCTGTGTATATTCTTTTTATCTGTGTACACAAACATTGTCTACATTTTTAAGTCTGCTGACATATAATAATATAAGTGCTGTTATATCAAAGTGATCACCTTAATTCCCGTCTCATATATAAAACATGCAAGGCAAAAATCTAAAAGTTGATACCTTAATTAATTCGCTTGTTGCTTACGTCGCGTCGCGTAAAATTTAAAAATATCTTTATTAAATATACTCTGTTTAAATGTTGTAAATCATCATCTCTTTTTGATTTATGTTCTTTGATGTTGTTGCAGTCTTATATTTTTCTATCAGTGATAATTTCTATACTCCTACATATGTAATTATTCACACAATAAGTTGGTGTGTGTACGTTTATAGCGCCTAGAAAATCGTGATGTATTTAAAGTTTGATAAGATTAAAAAATTGGCACAGCGTCAGATGTTACTCATACATACACATAAGATAATAATATCTTATAATTTGTGAATATATTATAAATACATATTTTTTGTATTTTTTATAGGTCTTCTAGAAGAGCAAGAGGGTGTAGGTGTCCGCGGTTCGAGGTCAGCGGCTGCGCTCGGCATGCAGACGTACCGGCTGTCCGACGTGGAGGAAGACGACGACATGCCGCGTCTACCGCACGCTAGTCACGTGTACACATTCACTAATAGGTATGCATGGAGTATATTACATTTACAAAAATTGTTTCAGTGTACAAAAGGTCAATGTCAGCAGGGGATAAAAAATTTTAATTTTGTTTTTACATATTATTTGACTATTTATAGTCAAATAATATGTGTGTAAGGAAAATAAACTCTCCTGCTTTTAAGATAAGAACTTATAGAATATCGTGATTTTTTTTTTCTGTGATATTAATGTTTTAAGATTTATTTATTTCATTCTTTTCCCTTTTTGTAACATATTATTATTATTATATGGAATAAAGTATGTAGCAGTAGTTTAGCAAAGTTTATTTTTACAGCACCGTGCTTCATCCGAACGATGGTAGCCTCGCGAGCACGAGCGTGAGCAGTGTGTGCAGCAGCGGTATGAGCAGCCTCGCGAGCAGCGTGCTGGGCAGCGCATGGAGCTCGCGGCTCACGTCGCGCCGCACCTCCGCCGCCGTGTCGCCCGTGCTCTCGCGCCGCGAGTCCTTCTGCACGCCGCCTTCGCGGCCGCACTTCTCGCCCACCGCCACGCCTGCCAACAGCCCGCTGCTCGGCTCGCCGGACGCCTCGCCGCCGGCGACGCCGCGCCCCGGCGACGCACCGCCCTCCCTGCACGCGCTTATCGCCAGCGGAACCTCCATCTTGCGACGGCGGTACCTGGGCGCCGCGTCGCCGTCGGCGGACGGGGCACCCGCCCCGCTCGCTCTCCAGACGCCCGGATCACTATACACGGGCCTCGTGCACCGCAGCCCCATGGAGCAGCTTACGTGTTTGAAACGCACGCTGCGTTCGCCGGCCGCCCCGCCTACCGCGGAACTAAGCTCGCCTGCGGCTCCGACTGCGCTGCCACTCGGCGTGCCCGCGCACCCAGGTGAGGGTGCACTGGACGCCGGTGCAACGAACGGACGGCGATTGCGGCCCCGTGCCGACTTGGGTACGGTGGAGCCGGCGCAGCCGTCGAGCCCGGCGACTCGGTCGCCGTTCGGTACGCTCAGCCTTCTTTTCGGCCGGAAAGGCGGTCTACTGTAGGAGCGTCACGTCGCGGACGAGGCAATCCTCGAGCGGTTGTTCGCCTCGATGTCTCATCAGTTTCTCCGTAATATGGAGAAAACAATTTAGTTTTTTGTGATTAAACGGTGGATGTCACTTGTTTTCTACGTGATACTTTTTATAAGCATCTAGAATATTATTAGCGTGCGTCTACCGTGAGAGGTTTTGTTTTGAATTAGTATAATTTCAATATCTCGATTTTTATTATATTTTGACGTGTATTTTTCGTAGCATTTTTTTTTTGTAGAGAATTGCCATGTGCATTTATGTGGCTAGCCGCGGGATTGTAAAACGAGTGAACATTATTTGAATATTTCTCATTTTCTGTATGCATTTTATTCTCTCTGAAACATTCCTACTGTTAAGAGCTCAACTATTTGATCTTCTAGATAGAGAGAAATATCACCAGGATGCAAGAATTCTTATAATGCAATTGCGGGCTGTTTAAAAGTCAAATATAATATTAAACTAAAAAATAAAAGTATTTTAAATCAATCAATATGATACTGGTCGATAAAAGTTTTGTGACCAAGTTTTTTTAATATTCAAAACTATCGAGATAATAGTATATTGATTTTATAAATGAGAATGTCCCGTCGCTGAACACCGTAGTATTATTTATAAGGGTTGTAATATTTATAATTAGGTAGATCAATAGTGAGACTTAATACTTAGATAATGTAGGGCTTCAAGTAAACGTAAATCAACACTGATATTCAACATGCAATTATTGCAATAATGTTATCATGCCTTTGATTGTTTTTAGTGTTGATAAATATTGTATCATTGTAAATAATCAAATTTCCATTAATTTAGAAGAGTACAAATTATTTATGTCTAATATGATAAATAGTGTATTATTATTCTTGACGAATAATAATTAATGCAGGTATTTTTTTTTTACTTAAATGTTTTTTATTGATTGAGATTGGGGTATTCTGAAACATCATAACTATTTCTAAAATTTCAGTTTTCTGTAATTTATAATAATAGAAAATTAGAAATTATCATAGAGTCTACTTTAAATCGACTCAATATTCACAATAATCTTTATTTAATGAACATAAATTTGATGGTTCAAAATATATTGACTAAACTATACATTTAAATTTTATAATTTTAAAGACTAAAGTTTTAGAGATAGGTTTAAGGAGATGGCACTCGGAACCAACCCTATTGTTAATGTCCATAATTTTTTGTAAATAAATGAAGGAAGTTTCGCTTCATGCCATTTTGTTGCTTAATCGATTATTCGTAATTTCTGGTCTTTGGTACTAATTTAGGTCTGAAATAAATAATGGTGCATGCCATAGTATAGGTAATTTTTGAATTTTTGCAAAAAAGTTGCACCATACGGATGGGAAGGACAGAATGTCGATAATGATCACAGCTATCTCCAATTTAGTAAATTGTTATAGTTCAATTTGTTCAGTTACTGTTAGGTTACTGAAATTGGTGCTAGATAGTATTATTATGTCAGTTTTGATTTAATAGTAACACACTTTGTGTTATTTTACTTACTCTGTTATAGTTTTGGTTTCATGTAATTGTACTTTGAACTTAAGTAGTCAAGTATGTATACAAATGAATATAATGATATTGTCTGATAAAAGGCCTGAGAATTTAAGTTCATAGTAAGATTCAGTAGCAGGTTTTGCCTTTGCTTTAATTTATAAAAATAGTCAATGGAGAAATAATGTTGGTAATCAATGTTAGGCTGTGAAGCGATCAACTGTTGAGGTGTTTAGAAAATGTTATCTAGACCTGAAATCTACTTGTAAGTAGGCACAAACTATGGTGTAGACTTAAGGGCAATCTGATGAGATATGACGATTACAATAAAATGATAATGAATGAATAATAAAAGAAATATAATTTATTCAAACTTTCTGTTTTATTATTTATCTATTAGCCACCTCGTGATAGATTTCTGATTCCTCTTGATAAGATTTTTTTAGGTTTCAGACGAACCGTTTGTACGAATTCTCAACATGTATGCTATACATTAAAAATAATCTCTGACTGGAAGTATAATTATAAGTTTAGGGTAACTGTAATCACCCTACTTCTGAAAACCACAACCATAATCTTGGTGGTGTAGCGGTTTAATATATTGCTTCACCTTTCGATGGTTGCGGCTTTGATTTCTGTACAATACAATTTTCCGTTTTTTTTTTGCAAATAATAAATTATATACACATATTATCATTATATTTTTTTTATGTATAAAGAATAATAAGATGTATTTCAAAAGTAGGTATCTTTTGGAAAGTGCCTAATGTGTACAGTGATTACGTCTACGATAATTTGTATTGAGACTTTGAAACCGCAGTTGCTATCCTCTATGTATCGAGAATTTAACTGTGTATCTAGCTGATAATTTTGGAATCCTAGTATTCCATACAAAAGTCATTGTACAATTCATATTAGGCCTTCGGTTCTTTAACACCATTTTAGCAGCATTCATAGTAGATAGATGAATTTTGAATGGTGTCTTCGTTTGCGCTATCGATATCCACTGACGGGGCACCAGACGGATGATAGGTGTGTATGAAAGCATGTTAGTTAGCCCATCATGACGAAAACCACAATTAACAACGATGGTTTCCAGGGGGAACCGCGTAGAGGTTGATTGGATATTATTAGGAATGGAGTTGTCAGATCCTATTGCAAATAATCTCTTTTCCCAACTCTCACAGTAGAAGTTTCGTTTTGACTACGACTAGATGGCGGTGTGCGGTACGAGTATATCAAGACTTGCGCAGTTGAGAGAAAATTCTCGGAGGACATATGCTCTGTACTGAATGCTTACTCTGATACTTTGTAAACTATATCGATTAAAAAATAAGTATTATTAAAATCGGATGAAATTTGGCGAAGATCTCGCGTACGTACGCATGAAAAAATATGGACAATTGAAAAGCTGCTAATGCATGTTACCCCAATTCTGCCCAAGATATCGTAAGAGGCGATTATGAAGGACACTTGGCCAGTGTGTTTATAATAGACTAAAATCGCTTTTTTAGTCCAATTTTTGGAAATGATGATATGAGTTTCATAGCATTTATTTGTTACTAGCTAGCTGTCCTGTGGCTCAGCCCACGTGTTTTAGTACATACTTGTGTCCTATATACTAAATTAGGATATAACCTACCCGTGTACTTAATTTCATTCAAAACCGTTTAACATTTTTATGTGAAACAGTAACAAACATCTATTCGTCCATTCATCTATTCGTCCATCGTTACACACTTTCGCATTTATTATATTAATAGGGTTTGACATTAAGTTCGATTTAGTTCGGCCTTGAAACTTTGGTAAATATTTAATGGTGTAATAATTTATCTTTATCTCATTTCTGGTATCTACTAGAATAGTAGTTATTAGTTAGGCTCTACGCTTGAATTTTGATGCTTGTGACTACAATTTGATCGATATGTAACCAAGCTAGGAAAATATAACAAAATTCCGATTAGGTAGGGGAAAAAAACCCAGTTGATATTTTGATTTGCGATATACCTATTGTCATGACAACGAGAAGTGTAAACACTTCTAAACAACGTTACTATTTTAAGTTCATTTAGAAAACGAACTGTTATTTCTCTAAAATTATTAAAATAACAGGAGATATATATTGAAATGACTGAACAAATAAAATTTGTCGTGAAAGAATTGAATTCAACACTTGGTCGGAACTACGATCTGATAAAATTTGACGCCTTGAACGAGAAGCAATTGCTGCAACTGTTGGTCGATTTGCTCGTCAATTTCAACGCTGGAGAAAAGGTATAAATTTAGAGTGGAATAAACATTTATTATATACTCGTACTTTTTTATGTAATTATTCTTTTATCCAATGAAAATAAAAAGGTATTTCACCTCTGCTATCGATATATGTTACTGGTGCATCACTAAGTGAAGACAGGTCAGAATTAAGTTAGGTCATTTTGGTCAAAGGATAGTGAATTAGTTATTTCGAACCTAGATAGGTTTCTGTGGGGAGCGCGTAGAGGTCGCACTATCAGGGTATATTGTTAGAAATGGGGTTGCTAGTTCGCATTATTGCATTCCATTTTTCACATTACAGGTTCAGTTTATTGTTCATAAACAATTTAACATATTGTATGTTAAAATTTAAACTTAACTGTACGAGAAGGTAATATGATGTAGATAAGGAGATAATTAATTTCATTATCAACTGCCCGAAAGTTCAAAACATAAGTTTATATATACCATAATTTTGTACCAGATTTCATTCAAATTTGTTCAGCCATTTAAGCGTAATTAAGTAACATACATCCAAACATCTATACAAACTTTCACATTTAAAATATTTTAGTAGGATTATAATAAGTTTAGTTATTAATATATTTTAAGTCAATTGTTACGATGGATCTTAGTAATCCGTAAATAAAGAAAATATTATATTATATTATTATAATATATTTTTAGCTCGATATTAATGAAGACGAACCGGAAACAGTTTCGATGCGGCTTCTCGAGATGTTAGGAAGCGTTAAATATCGCCCGCCAGCCAACGTCGAACCTACATACTTCAGGACTCAATTGTTAGCAGGCGATGCACGGACCATCCACCACGTGTTGCACTGGCTGCTAACTAATAAAGAACAAGTTAAAAATACCGCTTATCTAGCTAAGTAAGTTTTTTACCAGTAAACCAAGAAGAAAATATATGTAAGTACTCAAACTTCACTAGCAATTTTAAAAGGCCGGTAGCACACCTGCAATGCCGCTGGTGTTGTGGGTGATCATGGGCGGCGGCAGTGACTTACTATCAGGTGAACCGCATGCTCGTTTGTCCCCTGTGTTGTAAAGAAGTCCAAGAAAGGAATGAAGCATGATACGATTTACTATCACAATGTACTAGAAGAGCATGTTTGCATTGTAGAGATTTATCTATATATATAATACTATATAAAAAGAAGAGCAAAATGTCCGCTTGCAATTGCAGGTTATATGTTTTTCTTATCCAGAGAGATCCGTGCCAGCAGTAATTAAAAATATCTATAATAATAATAATATTTATTTGCTTTAAACATGGTATACAGTGATGTTATAATTATATTTGAGAGTGCACATGTCTTGCTAAAATTATATAGCGTGCAAATTAAGTTTCCTACTATCAATCATTGTTAGATATACAAAATTTTTGTTAATACTAAATGTCAAAAACGTCTACCAAGGAAATCTTTTACGTCATAATAATTCTGTTCCTTTAACCAGTTATATAATCTTTTCCCAAATAAAGACATTCAAATCTTTAAATTCATTTGGAATTTTATTATATATATGAACGCACATAGTAAGGCATATTTGATTGCAGGTCTATATGTTTTTCTTATCCAGAGATGAGTCCGGCTCTTAAATAATGGTTTGCATGATACACCAGCGGTAATTAAAAATATCTATACCTTACTTTTGTAGTATCATCTATAAGGTACTCATTTTGAGGTAATATACTCGTAGAAATGCCCATTGTTTCACTTAACGTTGCTTATTTTTATTTGGATATGAGAAGGAAAATGAAGAATTTCTTGAAATACCTAGCGAAACTATAAAGTCATGGAACATACAAAAATTTAATTTACACCTTCCTGAAAAAAAATTTATTATATGACAAAATTTTGACACCCTGAATTGATAAATAAAAATTTTGTTTATAAAAATGACTAAATATACAATGTTGTCATATTAACTAGATTTTTCAGCATGAGATAGATATATAATATTATATGACATTTATATTGTGATATGCTTAAGTAAATATCTAATATGTTCATTTGCCTTTAGAAAGATACATACCATATTAGTAATTTAGAAATATGTTATCAAAATTTAACATCCCTTCTTGATGGAATTAATGAGCCTGCCGAGTTAGACGGTTTCGGAAGACGCGTATGCAGAATTTTCCTTTGTAATTATTAGTTGGAACGTAGACTCGACATCAAAAATACTGCTTATGAGTGATAAGGAGCTTATGGTGTGCATGTTATGTTGTTCGTTTGTTCCCAGTTAACAGAAGTTTAAAGTAGAATAAAAGGGGGCCTTTACATAATTATATTTTCTTAATTATTCTTTATTCTTTATTGTACACAAAAGGTTATTAAAATGTAAAAACAAACATAATAGTGCACAAAGGCGAGCTTATCTTCAATAGAGATTTCTTCCAGCAAACCCAATATGAGAAAACTGACAGTTCATTGGTAGTTACAGTCATATGTGTAATCATAGATTGTTTTATGAATTTAGTTATTTGCATCAGATCTATTAGCGACTCCCGATTTTAATGGTATAAAATAATATGGAATCGTTCCTTTAGAGTATACTGTAGAGATAGGAGAAGATTGACGGAGTTTTATGGACGCCGATTTACCACGCACTACCAGCTTAATTAATTCCTTGGCATTTAAGTATTTGTTTTCATAATGTAACAATTGACTTAAATGTTATAGTAAAAATAAATAAATAAAATGTCTTTACAATTGAAAAGACCAATAGGTATAAATAAATAAATAAAAATATATATAAGTAAATGCATATAAATTATGTACCCAGTTCAGTGCATATCTAATCATGAATTTGAAATAATAATAAACTTTTAGTTATTTACTACCTATATTATCATTTGTGACAACGGGGTCGATTGAAATGCGGACTACCAGATTAATTGCTAACAGTATACCCTGGCAGGTCGACCTCCACGTGGTCCCCCCTGGAAACCATCGTGCTGAATTCGAGGTGTATTCATCCCGATGGACTAAGTGATCTGCCTTTTCATATCCCTCACTAGGAGCACTAGGGAAATTAGTGAAGCAAGCGAATACCGTTAGTGCAGGTGGGGATATAATTAAATTATCATTCATTAAAAAAAAAAATTGAGTCGATGAGGCGTATTTATCTAAATCTATTTCTTAACTTGATATTTTAATTTGATAGTTTTGCAAAATTATTGTTTTATGAACCATCATAAAATAATAATTTTGACTTAAATTTATTAGAATTTTAGTTTTTATTAGTCCTTAGAATAAAGATTTTGTTGTGATATCAAATATAAATATTTGTTTATAGACATGTTTAGAGAAATGGCACCTTAGAACTGACCCCAATACATTTTGAAACTACTTTTCTATTTTTATTTATTATTAGTAAAACGCAAACATTTTTATTACCTATCTAAAATATAGGGACAAATTTGAAATGTCATTCTTTATTTACAGATCTAAATCCTGAGTAAGAGTAAACTAAGAGTTTAACCAACTATTAATTATGCAGTGGTTTAATACAAGTTTACGTTATTACTGCGACAGCGTTTACCTCAAAAATTTGCATTTGGAACTTAATTACTTCTCTAGTGGTTTATTTCAGGAATTCAAATTTCTATACAAACTTATGAATGTATGTAAACGTGAATACATACCAGAGGGAGACCTTGTACAAAAGTCGTTGGCTTTTTTTATGCAACTTAGAATGGCAAACATGCTGACGGCCAGTGGGCGACGAATACCCCTTCCATCAAGTGTGATGGAAAGAGGTAATCGTCGCCTATGGACATGAGCAGTACCATGGTCATAAAAGAATATACTGTTTCGCCCATGATACCCATTCTTGAGGACTCAGGTATTAATCTTTTCAAAGATATTTATATATTTACCAGAGGGAGACTTTGTACAAAAGTCAATTGCTTGGGTACCTCTATCCCATTCGTGTTTCAACCATGAAGCAGTTGTGTTTGCATAGCTGTGTTTCGGTTTAAAGGGTGGGATATGGCGTGAATTTACTGGGTACAGAGGAATAACACCTGAGTCCTCAGGAATGGCAACGTATGGGGGGTATCATGGACTGTTATGTCCATGGTACTGCTCATGTCTATAGGCGACGGTTACCACTTTTCATCAGGTGGGCCGTCAGCTTGTTTGCCATTCTAAGTTGTATTAAAAAAAAAAAGATATTTTGATAGCTCATTTTAATCTCTTATTTGGACCTTCTACTAGCGATATAAATTTATTTATTTAATAGCAATTGGGATTAATTAAGTTTAATAGGTTGACGGTATTTGCTATCAACATAATTCATTTTATTACCCAAGTTTGAACTTGTGAGATAGATCATGGTTTAATATCTGCCTAACACTTTTGTGTGTAAGTTACCTTTATTTACAACTACTATATGTATATTATTTTTTAATTGGCAGATATTTAAAAATTCCCGACATCCCGACTGAAGTGGCTCGAAATAACACTATTCAAGATATGTTAGATTTATATCAAAATCTGATAGATGAGTTCAAAGATGTGCATAAGAGAACGAGGATGTTGAGGAAGGAGAGCGCGGCAGAAATTATTAATGATATAAAGGAAATGGCTGTTGAAAGGGACATTGGTGAGTATTTCAACTACTCATAGTAATACAGTGTATATATACATAAATTAGGTGCATATATAATATTATTATCTCCTGCTCTTTCTCAATATTTTAGCATTTACACACTAAATGTATATTACAATTAATGTGGAATTACTCGTAATATGTTTCAGTGATAAAGCGTTTAGAAAATGTTCAAGTGAATTTAATTGATGTAAGCAATAAGGAGGAACTTTTGAGTGTCAGCAAAGCGTTGAGATATCAACAGGAAAAGGCTAAGGAATTGGACAGTCAGGTAAATATTTCATTAATATATTTTTTCTCTTGATTAGATGAGGTGCAAATTTAAGCGAGGAAATGGAGGGTTCTGTAGACTGTCAGTTATGTCAGTGTGTGTGTGTCTTACGTTATCTAACAAATGTAGGCAAACTTTTAATTTTGTTTACAGTATGAGACGCAACAATCGCAACTGAAGTTGGCTTCAGATCAATTGAAGAGGTATTTAAATGTAATCCACGGGCAAAGTGCTACTCCAAAATCAGCAAATGAGGCTATTAAACACCTGCAAGAAGAAATTCAGGTATTTTAAATAAATAGAAACGTAAAAGTACTTGTAAGTAGATTACGATATTAATTTGTAAGAACTTTGTAATTCTTATTTGCTTGAATGAAATGAGAAAGGGCAAATCATATTGGTTCAGGCATGTAGAAAAAATTTCAAGTGAAAGGTTAACAAAACAGATGATACAATGAGAAAATAGAATCCGATAATGGAAATTGAAATTGCAGGCATCGAGGAGGTCTGGACTAATGTGAGAGTAATGATTAGATAGACCGTATACAATTCAGGGAAAGGATTAAGTTTTTAGAATTAGTGTAGATTTATAAGACAAGTTATGAGAGTGGATACGGACTCTAGAAATATATGCACACTCTTTTAGCACTCGGCTCTCTCTGTTTTCAGAGACTTCGTGTAAAAATAGATAACTTATAATATTTCTAGATTATGTAGATAAAATTTGTTTACTTATGTCTATTTATAATTATTATCAGTTATGATTGTTTTATCACTTTAAAAAGTAATTATTTGCAGCTTAACAATTATCTCGTAAAAGAGAAGTTGCCCCAAGAAATGGCTCATCTTCAGAAGGAATTAAATATAATGCAAACAATTGCTATGGAACAACATCCGACGCGATCTGACCTCGTTTTGGTACAAGATAAGGTAGGGATTCTATATTTCACTTAGCATTCCAATTCATGCGCAAAGATTTCCAGAACCAAAGCTGTTACTCTTATCGTGAATAGTGTTCACTGGTCCTAATCGTCAATAATAGTAACTATTTTCAGAATTAATTTAGCATTTTCTAGTTATTAGGTACCGTTTCACGAAATAGTCGACTTTTCATAAGACTGATGCAATTAGAAAAAATATATATAAATACATTTAAATGTACATGTTTATAGTGTATTTTTGTAAAAAATTCACAATTAATTTAAGAATACTATAACAAACAATTCAATATAAAATCGAGCACGTATATAAATATTTTTACTAATATAAATGATTCGAATACTAACTCTCGAATTTTTTTTGTGTAAGTAATGACAAGGTGGAATATTTTCAATTAATTATTCTATTAAATAAAAAGAGAACTATTTATTATTTAGCATTATGTTTACTGAATAAGTCTGGGTGTATTTTTATCAAAATTGATATTTTGACAATAAAACAAAAACCCTGTAATCTATATTAGCGATTTATAATTTATAAGTATGCATTGTTATTTCTAAAAGAACATGCGTGATTGTTTAAGTAGGTACTTATTGAATGTATGTTAACAAGTAAGAAAACAGTGTAACGCAAACATAAGGATATACATATGCGATTTACGTGGTGTGAAAACTAAAAGAAAGATGAATAGGTAACATTCAGGGTTAGTTAGCGTTTGTGGTAAATTCAAAGGATTCCATCAAAGCTTACAAGTAGGCACTCGTATTTTCGTTAGGGTCGGTGTCTTCTACTTTACTAGTACGTGACACATGCATATCTTAGTAGGTACTACATAAATAGCTCAATTATTCACTTGTTATTTACGACATTCTCCAGTGCCTAACGTATTATCAAGTACTAAGTGCTACCACTTGATAATTTTCTTACTTTGTGCTAATATTTTATTGAAATAATATTATTTTTTAGTCATGTTTCTTTTAAAATACAATATAAATATTAAAAATTATGACTAAAACTGTCAAAGTAATGATCAAAAACTATTTTTTTAATGAATGAAAATGATATGGTAATCCATTTGGTTTATGATGGCAGAATAATAGTGAGGGATAAGGTAAGACTAAGTTAAGTCAGTTAATTTTTCGTATATGTTACGAAGTAACCTCAGGAATTAACCAGGATGTTTTCTATAGAAAATTGTGTGAAGTTCGATTTCACAGAGTACGTTGTTAGTAATGGGGTTGTCGTAAAATGGAATCATATGGCATATAGCCAGCTTTAATGTGAATCTATTTTAGATAGCTGTTGTAAATGGTGAACTCGAACAATTAGTCCAACGCCGGTTGGCTGCTGCCGGTCCTCAAGAAGACAAATTGGCGCCATTCCGCCAGCAAGCGGCTGTCATCAGACGGAACAAGGATGCGAGTGCCGCACGCGTGCATGAACTCGCTGCCACGCTTAAGGAACATGAGGCTACGCTTGCTGATCTGCAATCACAGGTATATTAAAAAGCATACCTTACACGAATCATAATACGATCCCTTTTGCATTACTCGAATAATTTAATATGCCTTTGGCGATGAGTGCAATAATAGCGAAGTGTAATTTACATCTGTGGGTTTTACAAAGAAAATTCTATTAAGAATAACCCATAATCTTTGCAGCTGCATCTGGAGTTAAAATAATTTCTAATTGCAAATTTTAGAATCTATGATTATCTATAATTGTCTTTAATTACCGTCGCTTTGTTCTAGCGAAATTGAATTCAATCTTGATAATTATGTTGACTACCTACTTAGTATGTAATATGTTGATAGCTCTTTAGATTGTATCATATCTATATAGGCTGATATGATATTAATTCTTTTGTATATTCTATTAAACAAAGAAATAAGGCATATAGATTTAAGTCTCTTACGGTGCGATCAGCTTTGAAGTTAGTTTAGGTGGCTAAAACTTTTGTCGTTTTTCAATCAATATATTTTTCTGGGCAAAATGTTTAGTTTCACCGGTAGAATGTTCCCGTTTTTGTTCTGATAAATACTATCGAAAAGAATGCTATAATAATTTTGACACTCAGGTCTAGCTACAACTGGTATAAGTGCTGAATATTTCTACTGAATTGAATATGACTCGTCTGATTTTATTTAATACGACGTCAAAGCTGCTTTTCTACTATATACTTGTAATAAGCAGACAAAATACATCTGATTTATGGAAAATGAATGGTAATGGACTGGTAACCCCGTCTGCGCTATCGATATACGCTGAGTGATATACACAAGTGAGATGATAAGTGAGGGTAAAATCAGATCAGTTAGCCCATCCTAATGAATTTATCAAGAATTAACTACGATAGTTTTTAGCGGCAACCACGTGGAGGTTGACCTGAGACAGTATATTGCTAGCAAGGGGGCAGTTAGATCCTATTACTAATAATCCTTTTTCCTCTAACGCACCAGGTACTATTTGTGCATAATAAGAGACAAACAATGGCAAAAATAACAAGTTCTTGGACTTTATTTTTATAAATAATAATATAACATAATTATAATGTCTGTTTGTTTCCCATTCCTAGTTCTGTACTTATATAGGAAAATCTTATATGAGAATGGGCTGCGGTAGAAAATAGCTCACGAGATATAATATATGAACAGTTTTGGGCAACTAAACATCCACCAAACCGTAGCAAAATGGCTGTGGAACGCGAAGGGGAGGGTGTGTCATACTTGTGTATTTTCCAATTCACGCGTGAGTCTCTACTATCATATAGATAATGCAGTTATGTGATTATATACAATGTTCCACCCATTTATACATTAGCATGTTACGGAAATAGAATTTTTTTTTGTTAAGTAATAGGCTATTAAGTATTTATAAAGGCAGCTCTTACGTACCTAGCTATGTGATCCTACTCTAAGAGAATTGTGATTTTCTGTGAAGATAAATTTCCAAATCTTGTTAATTCTCGATTTTTGCACTAAAAATAGAAACCGGTTTTGAGAGTGGCGTTGATTAGTGGTTTGGAGTTAATTGAAATCTACAGGCTATCTTGTAAGATCTATCAGACGAGCCGCGTAATCTGCCTTCTGATAAAAAATTCTCATTTCCAATAATGGGTTATTATATTAAGTCTAAGAATTTGGCCTAAAATAATGCGATATTCCTTTTGAGATGTCAAAAATAATTTGATCTCATGTCAGTTAGTAGAATCAAGATGTATAGGTACTTATTTCAAATAGAAGTTAATGTTACCTTGTAAGAGTATTAGAGTATCATGTAAGTACAATTCTTGGCATTATTTGCTTAACAATCCTTTGTTGTTATATATACAAAAGATTATTCAACAATTGTTGAATAACAACAAATGTTGGTAGGTTTCGTAAAGTTCACAATATCATTTATTTTATACGGGAATCGCGTAATGAATAGACTAAAATGGCACTTATTTGAACAAAAAGTATGTTTAAAATATTCAGGTAAGGCAGCTCCTGGGAGATACAGTACTTAGAGGGGAAGAATTGAAGAAATACGTGAATTCATTGCGTACAAAAAGCACCGTCTATAAAAGGCAGCGCGCGAATCTTTCTACGTTCAAGGTAACAATTGGTATTATTATAGGTTTATTGCTTAAACTAGGGAAATGTTTGTAAAATTATAATATAAATATTATAAATTAATTTTATTTAGGTTGAGGCGGGAATATTAGCAAGGACTTTACACATAATAACAACAAATGATCCTACAGTGGAAATGGCATTACTTAATCATAAAAAGTTAAAAATTGAAGATGATCAAACTTTAGAAAAAGATGAAATAAAATCTGTAGATTTAAAGAAAAAATCGTTACATGATTTATCTCAGGTACACCTATAATTATAATAATATACTGTCTCATGTTTAAAAGTTAATGTCTCATGTTTTATAAACAGTCTCCAACTTTTATGGTATTGTACTAATGTTGCAGTTGGTTGCGCAAACTGCACAAAAATTATCGCAAGTACGTCAAGAAATTCAACCCCTTGCAGACAAAATAAAACCCGTAAAAGAGGAATTTCAATCAGTTCAACAGCAGTATGAACAAAAAAAGCGAGTCTATGAAGCAACTTCCATCAATATAACGTCTCAAATGGAACCCCTCAAGAACCAAGTGAAGGAGTTGACTGACCAGTTAAGCAATAAAGAGGATGAATGGAAAAACTTGAGACAAAGAATAACAAAAGCGGAAAGTTTGCAGGAAGTTGTGATGTTTGAAATGAAAAATTCTATGCAGTCTCCTAGGAAACCATCGAAAATGGAAGCTTTGAAGAAAAAAGTTGTTGATGTGGAACAAATAGTGAAGAACTTGGAAGAGGTATAACTGTCTAATAGATATTGTTACATTTATTTTTACTATTTTATCAATACAATTTTTTAGTTGTTCAATAGAAATACATTATTTTTATATTTATGCATATAAGTTGATAGGTATTTACTATTATAATTACACACATAAGAATAATCATGAAAGTAACGCGATAAATATTCGAATAATAATATAACATCTCATGTGCTTGTGTAAAATACGCAATAGACATATATATTCATGTTTTTTTATTGATGAAAATGGAATGACAAACCCGTCTGCGTTATCGATATACGCTATGGCAGTGCATCAGTGAGAGAAGATAGGCAGGCATGAAAGCAGCTTCGTGATGAATTCAACGAAAATTCACCACGATGGTTTCCCCGGGAGACCCATGTGGAGATCAACCTAAAGGGTATATTGCTACCGATGGGCCTGTTAGATCTCATTACTGATAATCTTTTCTCTTGCTTTAATATATATACATGTATAAATAAATTTATATACATGGTGTATTTTTATGACATGAAATTGGTATGATATGACTGGCGTGGTATCAGTGAGATTTAAAAGGTGAGTGGTTTACAGTTGGACCGTCGTGATGAATTCAGCAGGAGTTGTTTTACCCTAATACAGCTAACATATCTAACACTGGATCTTAATGTATATGAGGGAAAGAATATTAATGGGGTAAAATTCCTTTTCCCCTTTATAGGTACACAGCACAGGTATTAGTAGTAATATATATTTTTTCTTGTTAATTTAGGAACAACGTGTGATTAGTTCTCGTCAAGGGGAGGTTGAAGAACAGACTCGACTCTGGGAGAATACGCTGCAACTCCTGCGTTGTAAAGCACGCGCACGCAACGAGCCTGCCGCGGGTCAGGGTCGTATGCATATCACTCAGCATTCTCAAATGCTCACACTTACTTGAAAAATTGGTTTTATAATCTTTTACGAACCCGCACTATTAAACTGGCAAAGTCTAAAATACAATATAATACTTAAATATTATGGTTAAATATTATTATTATGATTTTTCATTTAACTGAATTTTATGACAATTAAATTTCATTTTCAAATGCAAATTGTGGTAACTCTATTATTTATTACTAAATCCATACGATAAATAAATATTGTTTTGCTATTACTATTTTGTTTTGCTTTAGTAGCGAAGATATAGAAATAACTAATATTTTTCGAGTAGCTATGTATGTTTGCATCTTTGGCGAATTGAAAAGAATGTGACTTTTTTCCTTTCCCGTGGGTGTCATAAGAGGTGACTAAGGGAAATTAATAGTCGAGGGATGGGCAGCAGCGTCCCTCTTAAAACATCACCAAAAGTTAACTGTGGTTGCCAACCCCCCTGCCTAGCGTGGCAACTACTGGAAAAATCCCCCTTATCAGGAAGGCCTATGTTCAGCAGTGGACAGTTAACGGTTGATATAATAACAATCAAGCTGGATAAGCAAGCTGAAGGCAATGTCAATGGTCACATAGCTCGAAAAACCGACAACTGATAGGGAAGAAACGTTCTTGAGTGGAGACCCCATAAGAGAAAATACAGTATAGGACGACCCTCACTAGATGGAATGGCGACCTCAAATGCATTGCAGGGAATCAGTAGATGCAGGTGGCTCATGACCGTTCCTTATAGCAGTCTATGGGGGAGGCTTATATCTAGTAGTGGACGGATAATGGCTGAAATGGTGATGATGATGATGATAATAACACACTAGATTTTAAGTTCAATCTTCACGAATACGACTGTGAAAACCGCATTTAATTTGGTATAGTAGTTTTTGCGTGATACCAGAACAGACAAACAGACAGACTGACAACATTTATAATTAAAAATTTCTAAAAAATATTGTTTTGGCATCTATTCGTCTTTTTACGACTCCTCATATTATTTTTTTAATATATTTATACCGTACAGACATCATCTAATTATAATTCTATTATAGGAATATAATATATTCTATATTAACCAGAGGGAGACTTTGTACAAAAGTCGATTGCTTGGGTACCTCTGTCCCATTTATGTTTCTACCGTGAAGCAGTTGTGTTTGCATGGCTGTGTTTCGGTTTGAAGGATGAGATATGGCGTGAATTTACAGGGTACAGAGGAATAACACCTGAGTCCTCAGGAATGGCAATGCATGGGGGGTATCATGGGCGAAACAGTATACTCTGTTACGTCCATGGTACCGCTTATATCTATAGGCGACGGTTACCACTTTCCATCAGGTGGGCCATCAGCTTGTTTGCCATTCTAAGTTGTATAAAAAAAAACAAAAAACTTAGATTTTCATTGTAAAGAAGACTCCAGTTTTTAAAAACGGGTCCTTCTTATTCTGAATTCTCATTGAACTGTTATCATTTCAAGAGTTATTGTTATTTTGCAAATGTTGCTTATAACTTTGTTATTCTTGTTCATCTTCATGAGGACCTCAATGGCCCTCATGAAGTTTACGATATATGATTTTAGAATACATATCTATCTATAAGGCGGAGTTAATAAAAATCTACCATATTTATAATATAATTATTATATTCAGTAGAAAAGGTTATCATTATGATCTAAGATATTCCAAGATTTATTTCAAAGAGAATATTGAATAAAAATCTGTTCCAGTAATCCCATAATAAAATATCTTACTGTTTTCCTCAAAGAAAAGAAACTTATTTTCTTGCTTGACCTAATAATAATATTCATTCCTTTTTATTCTGTTATTGACATTCTGCGAATAAAGGTCTTATGTAAATAGTCTATTATCATTTGAGATTGTCGTTCTTTTTTTATTTTTATCAGAATATACTTAGAAAAAGTTTACATCAGTCATAAATAATTAATGTTCTTTTTTTTTAATAAATAAATTTGTCTTTTGCCACATTAGTTCTACATGATTGTTCAGTGTAATGCTAGTAAGTAAGTTACGTTTGCGTACACCATAATAATCAGAGTCGAATAATGCCTCTCATTACCCCATTTAAACCATGCAAGATACGGTGGTGGATGTTATATAATGCTCTACTAAATCAGTGTAATTAAGCACGGGTTACGGCACGTCTAACTTATGGGACAGTAGGCATATACTGAACGGTACTTATGTACTATATAGGTACAGAATTATAGTATATTGTTTCACTAGGTATTGACTAGGTATTGACTGCCAGACACTTTTATTTTCTGCTTTCAGCAGAAAATAAAAGTGTCTGGCAGTCAATCAATAGCGTAACGTTTAATAACTGAGTCGAAGGCGAGGGCTACTACGAGTAAATGTATGCTTTGATGCAAATGCCCGAGTCCACAGTAAACTTAGTTGTATGTATGTTAATGAGTTAACATTGGCATTATATTTTTTAATGTAATAACTATCGGTTTAACTTACGTGAAAATTCATCGAGAAAGCTCTATTAGTTTCGGAAGCATTCGGGACCCTTAATAAATAGCTTTCTCAACCAAATTATACGCAAGTAAAACTAGTAATTATTACATTAAAATATAATGTGAATTTAAAAAACTTTTAACAATAAAACATTATAAAGAACCGTAGAATAGGAAGATCAATCATTGCTACTTATAACACTGGGGGCAAACGATAACACGGCTCACCTGATGGTAAGTAATTACCGCCACCCATGACCACCAGACAGAAACAGATGAAGATAATGATGTGCCTACTTATTTAGGCGGAGTATATTATAATGTACTTTTACTGTAGAACCTTGCTGTTTTAATATCTTACTACCTTATATAGATAGAAAATTACAATTAGACGATATCTGCACAGGAAACATATACGAGTATATATGGATTTCAAAATAATATAACAAGAAACTTCATCCGTCTGTATGTTTGTTTCGGCTTCACGTAAAAAGTACTGTACCAAATTGGATACGATTTTCATTGTTGTATTTCTCAAGATCTAATTTAAAACCGGTGTGTGTGTGTGTTATCCTAACACCATCTAGAAGTAGTTGATTTCATTGGATTTCCTACTTTTAAAATTTACGTTTACGAAGTAGTGGACAAAATACTAGTAGAAAGTAATATATTCGCATATAAATATGATATACTGTACACGCCACAGTACTTATGTAGAGAATTTTTATATTTTCTAGATAGACTAAGGCATTTTACAACAAGATACCACATAAGAATTAAGTGATTATGATACAGCACGGTGTGCTGATAACTTAGTAACTACCAGAGGGAGACTTTGTATAAAAGTCGATTGCTTGGGTACCTCTGTCCCATCCTTGTTTCTACCGTGAAGTAGTTGTGTTTGCATGGCTGTGTTTCGGTTTAAAGGGTGGGATATGGCGTGAATTTACAGGGTACAGAGGAATAACATCTGAGTCCTCAGGAATGGCAACGCATGGGGGGTATCATGGGCGAAACAGTATACTACGTTATGTTCATGGTACTACTCAAGTCTGTAGGCGACGGTTATCACTTTCCATCAGGTGGGCCGTCAGCTTGTTTGCCATTCTAAGTTGTATAAAAAAAAACCTAATTTTACCATAAACTATGATGAGTGCATAGATACTGCTTAGTTATAGTTTCATTATAAAGATATACAGAAGTACAATACCTTGCGTACTTAGATAGTCATGTCGTTTATGAGGGCGTGGTATAAAAATGAAAGTCTGAAAAAGTCTTACACCTATATTATACAAATTTCTGCTGACTATAGAGACGAAGACAGTAAAATTACTTTAACGGCTGAAACGCTTGATTTTGTGCACTGTTTAGTAAAATTCCTTTAACAGACATTTTCTTTTGAAAGTGAAGGTGCTGAATATCAATTGTATTTTCTTTAACTCCGTTTTGTAAATGTATGAAAGTTCTGCAGTTTTGAATATTGGAAAACGAAGTTTACTTAAGTATCTATATTTTAATTTAAAGCATTGTATTATTTCAAAAGTTTTACTTTTATTTCGAGTATTATTAGATTCACAAATTTATTTTGTGAATAAAACTTTTCCTATCAAGTGTCATCAATATTTTATGGTAGTAATTTTTGTTTGAGAGTTCAAATTGGATAATTTTGCGAGCTATTGAACTAAAGTACTTATTTGAAAGAATAACGTTTAAAAAATAATAAAAAGAACCTTGTTGTATATTTATTAATATTCGTCAATAGATAATCGTATACACAAAACAAAATAAAACGAAAAATAAAGTCGCTACGAATATCTCCTTTTTAAAATTGGATAAAAGCGAGGATTTCTTTGATGGTTGCCTCAATGTGGCATGGCATGCATATGTCATGAGTACGATGTGAGTGCATATGCCAAAATCGACATGCTCGTTCAAGCTGCGCTATTGACGAGTCGATCTGTTAGTTCGATCTGTAGAATAGATATTCCTACAATGTAAGTCTGGGTGACTTAACGTAAACGGTATTTTAATGCAGTAACAATTGGATTAACTTACATGTATTTTAGAAAGTTCGACTAGTTTCGGGACCATCCAGGAATACTAAGTATACGTAAATCTAGTCGAGACACGTAAGTTAATTCGTTCGTTATTACATTAAAATATAATGTGTTAACAATGAAAGTCATACATCAAAGATGAACTAGTTTACGGAGCTTGTCATTGATCTAGTATAGGTTATTGATTTATTATAATGTAGCTTAGTAAATAATGGCTAGCAACACACCCGAAATTCCTCTATTGTAGCGAGTGCTTATGGGCGGCGGTAATCACTTACCACCAGGTGAGCCACATACTCGCCTGTTATTATATGTATTATTATCATATATATTATTGCTCTCTGTCTTTTCGTTTTCAAAATGATTAAAGTGACTACTTTAAAGCTAGAACGCTATAAAACTTAGTACTTCATACCAAGTTCAAATATTAAGTTGAATGTCACGTAAGTAGATACCTACTAAAATTTACGAAAAGTACTAAGGTCTATGGCTTCTCAATTCTATAGAAAACAAAATGACTTTTAAATACGAATTTTCATGATAAAACACAATATAAAACCTGAGCG